TCGCCACGATGACGTGGTGTTCGCTGTGCAAAAACCACGTCATTTGTAGCTTTTGACATCTATGGACTTTTATCACTGTTTTGGTCCCCAAAATTAGGGGGGGGAGAGAAATGGGAAGGGGCTGCAGGTGGCTGTGAAGTTTACCCTCCCACACAGCCATGCGAACCCACCGTTACAGGAGCGCAGTGTCGTGGACGGGGATGTCAGAGATTTTGGTTTAGAATCTCACTTGAGTGACTGAGTTCATGGGGCTAGTTACGCTGTCTCTCTGGTGAAAGGAGGAGAGCTTGCAGGCTTATCACAAGGATAAAATGGGGATAGAACCACACACACCGTTTTGATACTCTGGGGAAGGGCAGGGGGAAAAACATACTCGATGACATACTCTTTCTTATATTACGTTTATATTTTATGCTGGTCTTAAGACCGTAATAATAAACCTAAACTAAACTAAACATTTTTGCTGTTGTTCAGTCGCACAGTCGAGTCCGACTCTTCGCGACCCCATGGACCAGATCACGCAAGGCCTTCCGGTCTTCCGCCATCCTCTGAAGTTGGCTCAACTTCATGTTCGTTGCATCGATGACACTGTCTAACCATCTCATCCTTTGCCCTTCCCGTCTTCTTTGACCTTCAATCTTTCCCAGCATCAGGGTCTTCTCCAGTGAGTGCTCCCTTCTCATTTGGTGGCCAAAGTATTTCAGCTTCAGTTTCATTATCTGGCCTTCCAGGGAGCAGTCAGGGTTGATTTCTTTTAGGATTGACTGATTTGATCTTCTTGCAGTCCAAGGGACTCTCAAGAGTCTTCTCCAGCACCATAGTTCAAAAGTATCTATTCTTCGGCGCTCGGCCTTCCTTATAGTCCAACTCTCGCAGCCATACATGACTACTGGGAATACCATTGCTTTGACCATGCGGACTTTTGTTGGCAGGGTGATGTCTCTGCTTTTTATCATGCTGTTTAGGTTCGCCATCGCTTTCCTCCCAAGGAGCAGGCGTCTTTTGATTTCATGGCTGCTGTCACAGTCTGCGGTGATCTGGGATCCCAGGAACGTGAAGTCTGTCACTGCTTCCACGACTTCCCCTTCTATTTGCCAAGGAGTGATGGGGCCGGATGCCATGATCTTAGGGGTTTTTTTATGTTGAGCTTCAAGCCCACTTTTGCGCTCTAAACATACTCAATAATTAAAGGAGAAAGGTGCAGGCAAGCCCGATCGTGTCAGATCTCGGAAGCTAAGCAGGGTCGACTCTGGCAAGTACTTGGATGGGAGACCTCCTTGGAATACCAGAGGTGGGAGGCAGGGGCAGGCTTTACTCCGCCACCTCTCTGAATATCCTCCAGGCCCCCAGGAGGGGTCAGTCACCAGAGGTCACCATGACTTCCAGGTACACACACACGCACACACACACGAAAAATACAAAAAAAAAGAGAGGAAGGTGCAGCAATGTTGATTCTGTGAATTTAGGCAGATCATGAGAGGGAGGCTGCAGAAAAGGTTGCATCGGTGCTTAGTTCTTGTGGCCCTTTCTTACGTGCCCAGGGAAATGCCGATCGCCAATTTGGGGTCAGGAAGCAATTTTGCTCCAGGTCAATTTGGCTGGGGATCCTGGAGGGGTTTATTGTCACATTTCTGGGCGTGGAACAGTGGTCACTGGGTGTGTGTGTGGGGGGGAGGTATTTGTGCATTTCCTGCATTGTGCAGGGGGTTGGACTTGATGACCCTGGAGGTCCCTTCCAACTCTTATTATTCTAGAGCACCAGCCAGCGCAGCTTCCCATTTCAGATGTGGTGTGATCTTGCAGCACCGGCTAAACCCGTAAGTCAACCGCGTATTAAGAGAGCTGTGCTGGATCGTCGCATTTGCAGTGGCTCTCCTTAAGATCTATTGGTCACACTCGAGTCCCCATACGATGACAAAACCAGATGTTCTTGGCAGCCTTTGGGGAAGGACCTGCTGCCAGTGCACATGCGCAGAGACCATGGGCGCCACGACTGTTGCTTCTCTTTTGCAGGTTCCCCGAGAGAAGCAGAGTGTCAGTGGGAGAAGGCCACTCTGTGGCGGAGAGGATTCCTCCGAGGGGTTTGACCCCTGGCTCGTTCCTCACCACAGTTCGGGCCACCTGGCGCTTGGCTTGCCACCTCCTGTCTCTGGCTGTCTCGGCCTGCTGTCTTATGGTCCCAGGAAGGTCTTCCCTCTGGCTCTCCCCCTTCCTGTCCGGTGGCTCCAATGTCATGTTCGCAGCTCTGGTGGCGGGGAGGGGGGATCCTGGGGCAGGGAAAGTAAAGACCACGGGTCAAAGCCACTTTGCTTTGCTGCGTGCCTCCAGACTTTTCCCTGGCTTGCTGCTGGACATGGAAAAGTCATGAAAGAGATTGCACCGCGCAGATTTTCTGAGGGCCGCTCCAGGGTGAAGCTGCTTCACGAGAATTTATCAACAGATCTGGTTCTGTTCTTTGGGCTTAATCAGGACTGCAACTCCATCACCCACTGCTGCGGCTCAACATCGTTAGCAAGACAGAGGTCTTCCCTCTGGCTCTCCCCCTTCCTGTCCGGTGGCTCCAATGTCATGTTCGCAGCTCTGGTGGCGGGGAGGGGGGATCCTGGGGCAGGGAAAGTAAAGACCACGGGTCAAAGCCACTTTGCTTTGCTGCGTGCCTCCAGACTTTTCCCTGGCTTGCTGCTGGACATGGAAAAGTCATGAAAGAGATTGCACCGCGCAGATTTTCTGAGGGCCGCTCCAGGGTGAAGCTGCTTCACGAGAATTTATCAACAGATCTGGTTCTGTTCTTTGGGCTTAATCAGGACTGCAACTCCATCACTGCTGCGGCTCAATTAACACAACATCGTTAGCAAGGCAGTTTACCATCAACTACTATTCTTACAACAGCCTGCTGCTCTCATCTCGTACTCATCCTGTCTTAGATCGAATGGTGTTTTCGTAGAGGCTTTTCCACCCGCGGAGTTTTTATTCGTTTACCTTACAGTCTGACTTTCTCACTGAGGCTCAGTGTAAATCAATGCAATCCATAGGATCGGGAATTGTAAGAAGCAATGTAATAGGACTGGGATTACAGAAGTCTGCAACAAAGCGTGTTAAAGATATACGTTAAACAATGCAGAAAAGGGCATTACAAAAGTAGAATGCAATGTAGCGAGAGCAAGAGAGAACATACAGCAATAAAGGCGTATAGTCCACAGCCCCATTCCCTTTATAAAAGTGCCTTCCTGAATGCTTATAATATAGCCATGTTACCTGTAGAGATGCCCTCCTGAACAGCTGTTTTACATAGTTTGTGAAAAGCCAGGAGCACAGGAGCCATCCTGACCACCCATGAGGGGCAGTACAACAAAGAATGCAGTCAGTTGTTGACCTTGCCCAGTTGCAGGTTGGCACCTTCAGAAGACTCTGCTCTGGTGAGCAAAACTGTTGTGGACGCCTGGTAGTGCAAGGGGGGGAGGTGGGCCTGCAGACATAAGGGTCCCAGGCAGGGGTCATTTCGTAGAAAAAGAGCTAGGGGAACTCATTAGCATAACTCATTAGCATATGCCACACACCCTGACATCAGGGGCCGGCGGTGGACCTGCAAGGCCAGCGGGATTGGGAGGAAGCCCCGCCAAGGCCCTCCCTGGCCCCAGGCAGGCAGGGGTGGGGAGAGGCAGGGAGGAAGCAACTTACCCTCCCTCTTCTCCTGCCTCCTCCTGGCTGAATGAGGGCTGGAAGCGGGGTGGCCGGAAGCAGGGGGCGGGGCTTTGTCATGTGCCCCGCCCCCTGCACCTCACCCGGGGGAACTGTGTTCCCCCGCGTTCCCCCCCGAAATGACCTCTGGTCCCAGGCCATGCAGGGCTTTGCCTGTGATATCCGGCACCTTAAATCGAGCCTGGTAACTGATGGGCAGCCAACGGAGTAACTGCAGTGTCAATTTCTCAACTCCCCACTCCTACAGCAGCCCCCAAATCCTCTCCCAATGTTGCTTTGCGGCGATCCTTGAGACACACCCCAGCAGCAGCGTTTTGGGAAGCAGCTGAGCCAGTTTGGTGTAGTGGTCAAGAGCGGCGGACTCTAATCTGAAGAATTAGGTTTCTTTCCCCACTCTTCCACACGAAGCCAGCTGGGTGACCTTGGGTCAGTCACAGTTCTCTTGCAGCTCTCTCGGCCCCACTTACCTCACAGGGTGCCTGTTGTGGGGAGAGGAACGGAAGGCGACTGTAAGCCGCTCTGAGACTCCTTCAGGTACTGAAGGGCGGGGTATAAAACCCAATTTTCTGAGGGGGGCGGCGGCAAGAAAGTTGTGCTCAGGTAAGTAAAAAAGCATTCCACCCATTGAAACACCTCTGGCTTTATAGATGTTGCAGAACTACTGTTGTTTCCTATAATTTATGCACCCCCCCCATTGGCTTTTTAGAATTCTTTTTTCCCTCACTTCGTCTTGGTTCAGGATCGTTGGGTTTTTTTTGCTATTCCACTCATTCTGCTCCCTCTAGTGGTCAATTCAATATTACACTGGTTTATGTCCACTATAAAAACCCAGGGAGATATGCCATACAGAAATCAATATAATATCAAATCGGCCACTAGGGGGAGCAAAACATGTGGAACAGAACAAGAACCCTGAAGCAACAGAAACACAAAAATGAGGATGCAGAAAAGCCCTTCATCTAAATATATCCCAACTGAAGATACCCGCACACCTGACAAGCCAGGATGCTAATCCACAAAAGCTTCCATTGCAATACATCTGTTGGCCTTTAATCGGTTTTTGCAGCAACAATCTAGCACAGCTATCTCTTGTGATTAAAAGACTCATCAGAATTATTCCACATTTGCTTCTGTTTAAGTTTCCTGGTAATCTGTGAAGACGTGTTAGTGCTATCAAATTCTACTTTGCCTTCTGCTACTAAAAACAGCCTGCATCCGATGCAGATGTGTGCCGCAATAGATCCTCATGTACAGACTTGGGACAGCTTGAAATCTTTTTGAAAGGTTTTTTATTTACAGTGCTAAACAATATATATATTTATATTTCTCATCCTCATAATGTCTGTGCCATAGAAAATACTGCAGATGGTTCTGCCTTAATTTACAAAGAAAAAAAAAAGAACAGAAGAACCTGGAGGGAACAAGGGGGAACTAAAAATTTGGTCCCTAATTTATTTATTTTTCCAAAGACCCAAAATGAGGAAGGGAGAAAAAAATAACAAACCACTGAATCACATATGATCTTATACACGTTATAAAACAAGCATTGCCTCTGGAGGGGAAAAAAACAATCACCAGATACAGCTTGCTGCCTTGCCATGTAAATTTGTACAAAATGTATTCATAATTAAAATCTTTGTTGCTATGCACGTTTCGGTTTCTTTTTTAAAAAAAACAAACACGATTTTTCATTGTTGCGTTTTTCTTCCCTCTCTCTTGCCTTCTCCCAGCCGTGGAAAGGGAACCCGGCAGACGACGCGAATGGATCGCTGCCACCATTCCCTGCCCGTTTGACTCCCCCCACCCCCGGAATCCCGGACTGGACTAAACCCTTTCAGCACCGCACACGTCCCACAAGCTTGCGGGACTCTGTAAAGGACCGAAGGAAGAAGAGAGGGGGGGGATGTAGTTGGTGGAGCGCAGAGAGCGGGGTGGAGGTGGTGGTTTTTTGCACAAGAAGTGTCGAAACGTAAGCAAGCGAGGATCTCAGTTAGGCAGCGGTTGTGGGGGGGGGTGCTTGGGCAGGGGAGGTGAACGTTTGCCGGAACGGGGAGGGCGCTGCAACCGGGAGGCGGAGGACGGATCAGCAGCTAGGTGGGAGTTAAAACTGTAGGGAGCACTGTAATGTGGAACGGGCCTCGGGGCAGGGGGAGAGCCTCCTTCAGCTCCCTCCCTCCCTTGCTGGAGAGCACACTGAATGCCTCCTCCCCCCTCCAGGATGGTGGCACTTCAAAATAGGTGCCGGCGCAGGTGGGGGCAGTGAGGGTGAGGGGACCGACGGGACAGTGGAGGGAATAGGATGTGGACACCAGGAAAGGGGGGGGGGCGCGTTTCAAGCAGAAGAGCCGTTTTCTGTCTTCTTCCTCTTTGGATCCACTTCATCCTGTACAGACAAAGGAAGACGAGTTTGGTCATCAGCAGGGGTCGCCGTAGGTTGTTCAGGTCTGTTACGAAATTAAGGGCATAGGAGGCCTACACAGGTTTTGATCTTCAAAGGCACCTTATCAGGGACAGACACTCCCAAGCCACAAGGATAAATAGTGCGAAAGGAACTTTAGCCGTGGCTTCTTCCCACTGTCCTGACCAGTGTTCCCTCTAAGCTGAGTTAGTGCGAGCTATCTCACAGTTGTTTAGCCTCCGGCTCACACATTTTTGTCTCTGCTCAGGAAGGAGGGCTCCAGAGCAAACTGATTGACGCAGTAGCCAAACGGCTCGTTCACAGCTTTAATGCCGGTAGCTCACAAAGTAGGATTTTTGCTCACAAGACTCCACAGCTTAGAGGGAGCACAGGTCCTGACCCTTCAGAAGAGTGGAGTAAGGAAAGCTTGCTTTGAGAAGAGGGACCGGGGGACTTGCAGTGTAACCCTACACTGAGTTACACCGTTCTAAGCCCATGGGCTTCAATGGACTCAGAAGGGTGTACACACACGAACACATGAAGCTGCCTTATACTGAATCAGACCCTTGCGCCGTCAAAGTCAGTATTGTCCACTCAGACTGGCAGTGGCTCTCCGGGGTCTCAGGCAGACCCTGTAACTCTGCACAGGATGGCACTGCCAGAATTTCAATGGGGCTGGTTTGCCAGACACTTCTCGGGGCTTATCCAGTATTTGGATGGGAGACCTCCAAGGAATACCAGGGCCATGACGCAGAGGCAGACGATGGCAAGCCACCTCCAGAAGTCGCCACAAGTCAGCTTGACTTGATGGCAAAAAAGCATTTCCAATTAAATAATAGCAACAATAATATGTACAAAAATGTTACAAAAGTGTATGGATGGAGTTGTGTGAGCAGAAGTCAAAGTTAATGGACAGCCCCGGCTAAACTGGGATAAGCAACTGCATTTCCCATAATACACCACATTTCGAATTCAATTCAGGATCTTTGCAACAGAAGTGCCATTTTCAGGGAAGATGGTCTGGCAACCAATGGGAGATGGTAAGGAGCGGGTACATGGGGGCCCCACGGTTGGTGATGACATGATATCGCTCCTGGGGAAAACCTGGATCAACGTCAGCCCTCTCTAGGATTCAACAGAAACTCTATGGTAAAACCATAGCGTCTCTGGCAATTCCTAAAGAGAACATTACTTTTGGGTTTCTATGCCAATAAAGGTTTTGATTGACTGACTTTTGGGTTTTCCCTAGAAGCAGTGTCGTATCATTGGACCAATGGCCATTTAAAAAAAAATCCCTGCCCCACTGCCACTCAGAACAGTGGTGGGAAACAGGAGCTGGGGGCAGGGGGTCCCGCCACCCCCACCCTCTGGGAACCTGGCAACCCTAGTCTAGATCCTTTAAAATGAAAGGAGCAACAGGCGGTCATGTATTCTGAGGGGAGAAAATGACTGTGAAGGAAGTCCTGGAGCGGTCTGAATATATCCGCTAGCACCAGTGTGGTATTGGGACTCTTCTCCCAGCTTTAATGGTCTGCTCCAGCTGAATCCTTCTACGCACAGCGATGTCATCAAGTCGTGACTCCATGCTGTGTGCAAGAGGGAAGGCGCAAGAGCTGAAAAGATCTGTCTCCTAGTTGGAGGGAGAGGAGAATTCTCTGCCTTTGCTCAACCAGGAGGTGACAAACAGCAGAAAGGAAAAGAAGCTGGAGCTGAAAGAATTCTCTGTTCTGATGAAGGCTATCAAAACGCTCTAAAGAGGTGTGGGGTGGGTACTGGCAAAAACACTTTAACCTAAAATCCAGTACAGAATTTTAGAAGGCTCCACTAAGGAGACATATCTGGGCATCTTCCTCCCGTGAGTGAACTCTTAAAAGTGTTCAGAGAGTCCATTTCCAAGCCTCTCTCCAGCTCAGCAAAACAGATTCTGCCTCTCCCTCCACCCCGTGGTGTTTTTCATAACAGTGTCTCTACTAACCTCCTCCTGCTTCTTCTCCGCAGATCGTTTTACGGCGTGTGTGTCGGGCTCCTGGTCATTCTCATCATCTAGGAATGGGCCAGGAGGAAAAGAGAGAGGAAGGACAAATCAGTCTTTCTGCCATGGAATCTAGCGGGGCATCCACCCACAGTCCAGCTCCACAAACCGCACGGGGCTGCCAATGCTCACCTTCGTCGTCTTCATCCTCATCATCCACATCCTCAGGATTTGCGTCTTCGTCATCTTCCTCTTCCTCAGCGCCATTTTCATCGTCCTGTGTAAAGCAAGCCCGCCAAAGAAAGCGGAGAATTGTTAAAATCTCCATCTTGCTCAGCTTTCTTACAGCTTGCTTTCGTTTTTTACAAATGCCCCCACAATGCGTTTTTTTATATACCCCACTTTTCCTCAGAAAACTTCAGCCTGCCTTACGATTCCTTTCCTTCCTGTTTAGCTTCCGCAGCAAGAGTGTCCTGAGAAATATTATAATACCCCACGTCAATGTTCCCTCTAAGCTGCGGATACTTGCGAGCAAAAATTCAACTTTGTGAGCAGCTGGCATTAGAGTTGTGAGCGAGTGACTTGGCTCCTGCATAAATCAGTTTGCTCTGGAGCCCTCCTTCCTGAGCTGAGGCAAGAATGTGTGAGCTGGAGGCTAAAAAGCTGTGAGCCAGCTCACACGAACTCGGCTTAGAGGGAACACTGCCCCACTTTTCCTCAGAAAACTTCAGCCTGCCTTACGAGTCCCTTCCTTCCTGTTTAGCTTCCGCAGCAAGAGTGTCCTGTCCTTTCATAACATTACCTGGGTCTCCCTGGCCTACTGAGGTATCTGGGAGTTCTCCCCAGTTCCTGGTCTTTACAACCTCTTCTTGGCATCGTCCCACGCACAATCACTTGCTCTCCTGCTTCTCAAAGCACAGCGGATCTCCCTGAACATGCTTCTCCGCTGCTTTCCTAATGTATGTGCAAGGCTCCTTCACGGCACAGGGGCCCTCACAAACTGCATAGTTCCTGCATGTGATATATACACCTTTTGGTCTCACATGGATCCCCTGCTCAGGTCCCTCTTCTATCCAAGGCTGTGCTCACTCAGAATGATAGGAACTTGGTCAATCTGTGGAGGATATATCTATCGATGGCTACTGTCTTGCGTTATTGAGTGCTGAAGGCAAATGGCGTTGGCCTCTCCCTTCTTGCCAGCATCCCCGGGACATGTGGCTGCCAGGCCATCGTTGGAAAAGGAATTATACCCTCGATGGACCTCCATCTAATCCAGCAAGGAAATTCTTTTGAAGGAAAAGGCCCACAATCTCCTTGTGGGCTCCCAATGACTCCTGGAAACTGACCGCTGTGACTTGAAATGGTCTTCTCTTATGTGCCTTGGAAAGTCCATCCTGTACAAATGCCTCCCCCCCCCCCTTTCAGGGACAGATTCATCCTCTTTGGAGTTTGGATAATGAGATGGTGTGGTGGTTAGAGAGGAGAGACTGGGATCTGGGAGGCCCAGGTCTAAGCAAGTACTCAGCCACAAAGTTTACTGGGTAACCTGGGGCTAATCACTCTCTCTCTGCCCATCCTCCCTCACAGGCTTGTTGTGAGGATAAAAAGGACGAGCAGAGAACTATATTCGTTCTCCTGAGCTCCTTGGAGGGAGGACGGGATTTAAAGAGTGATTTGGCTCCTGAGATAAAGAACACTAACTCCATGTCCCCACAGCTGGGTATTAAATCCTTAGCATCCAATCAACCTCTCTAATAGCCAGACCTCTGTGGCCTCATCCTGGCGATTGATTAAAAGCCAGAAGCAGCAGTAGATTGCAGAAGCAGCTATCTGCTAGCCTGTGGTTTGCTCAAAGGCCCAAGATGGCTGCCTCCTGCACCCTCCCCCAGGAAGGCTCCGGGGCCAGTATATTTGCATGCCACTTACATGGCGGGCTGCAGTTCCCCTTGTATTTTCCTGGATGAGGGGTCTGACAGGGGAGCAGAAAAAACAGCCCTGATACCCTTCTCACCCCATATTTTCCTGGAGTACAGGATCCCTGAAGAGGCCCAATCTGGGAATCCTCAGTTTCTCTGTCCTAGATCTGATTCTCTATTTTCTCTCTCTCTCTCTCTCTTCTGTGTTAAGTGCCGTAAAGTCACTTCCGACTCACGGCCACCTGATGAATTATGGTACCCCAATACATCCTGTTGTTAGTAGCCATTCTCGGGTCTTACAAACTGAGGGCCATGGCTTTTTTAATAGAGTCCGTCCACCTCATGTTGGGCCTTCCTCTTTTCCTGCTGCCTTCCGACTTTCCAGTGAGTCTTGTCTTCTCGTAACATGACCAAAGTACAATAACCTCAGTTTAGGCATTTTAGCTTCTGGGGGGAGTTAAGGCTTGGTTTGACCCACTCATTTGTCTTTCTGGCGATCCACGGCATCCGTAAAACTCTCCTCCAGCACCACATTTCAAAGGAACTTACTTTCTTCCTGTCAGCTTTCTTCATTGCCCAACTTTCACACCCATGCGTAGTAATGGGGAATACTACGGCATGGATTAATTTGATTTTGGTCGCCAGCAACACATCCTTGCATTTTAAATTTACCTCAGGTCTACTCCCCCCCCCACCTTCCCAGCCTCCGCTGTCTAATCCCTAGCTCACTGGGCACTCACATCTTCCGCCCACTTGCTTCTCTGTCTGTCCCTTCTAGGCCAGACTCCTTGTCTTTCCAGTGTCTTTCAGGGAAGGAGTCCCAGAAGGCATAAAAACGAGCCTTTCTGCTCTGCAGGGTTTACTCACCTCCTGGTCACCCTGTGGGCAATCTCAGAGAGAGAGAGCCAGTTCTGGTACATGGCAGTGCAACGGGTTGTACAGAGTGCGGGCTGGCTGTGGCACGTCCCAGCAACCTCCTTTCCCTTAAGATGAAGAAATTTTTTTCATCTTAAAAACCCAGGTGCTTATGAGTCTTTTGAGGGACATACAAAAAGCATTTTGGGCAAGCAAAGGAACAAAAGGCAGCCTGTCCCTGGGGAAGCATGATGAACAGTCCAAGCCAGCATTTTCTGCAGGGGAGGGCAGATGTGGCATTTGAAGAATGAAGGCTGGGAGGCTAGCATGCTCTCCCCCACCGGGACCGTAAACCAATGGCTCCCATTCTAATGGTCCCTCTGTCTGCCCTGTCCCTTTTGGCAGCATTCTCACTGCCCTGCCCGGCACTTCTTCAGTGAAAGCAAGCTCCCATTACCTCTATGATCTCCTTCTTCTCCTTACGAGCAGATTTCTCCTCATGCTTCTCCTTTTTCTCTTTCAGGTCCTGAAAGACAGGATGGGAAACCTCTCAGGCCCAAAGTGAAACGTGATGCCGCCCAAAACAAAAGAAGACTCTGAACTCACACTGCGCCTTATGGAAAGTGGGCTGCTACCCACAACCCCCCTCCCCCTGGACAGTTTGTAGGCCTCAGCCAGCGTCAGGTTTAAATCGAAGTCTGAGCCCGCCACTGAGACTTAAAGGCAGCCCATCCTACTAAGGCGTGTCCAATGCGGTTTACCCAGGAAAGTGTTCTTAGGCCTGCACTGCTGAAGAGCAGCTAGTATGAGAAAGCCTGACAACACAACAATGAAACATGAAAAGAAGCTAACACGACCACAGGGGTGCATTAGTCAGAAGCAACATGAGGGAAAATGATGGCAAAGGAAACATTTCTTTGGCAGCTGCATCGTGAATGTTATTTCTTTTTTAAAAACCACACACAATATATCAAGGAGATTAAGAGCCTGTGAGACCTGGACAAATGAGAAAACTTAGGCAATACTGCAAGCCTGTCTCAGGACAAAAAGGAGGAGGAGGAGAGTTGGTTTCGTATCCCGCTCTTCACTACCCAAAAGTGTCTCAGAGTGGCTTACAACCACCTTCCCTTCCTCTCCCCACAACATACACCCTGTGAGGCAGGTGGGGCTGAGAGAACTGCTCTTGAGAGAACAGCTCTGAGAAAACTGTGACTGGCCCAAGGTCACCCAGCTGGCTGCATGTGAAGAAGTGGGGAATCAAACCCGGTTCTCCAAACTAGAGTCCACTGCTCTTAACCACTTCACAACAGCTGGCTCTCTCAGAAAGCTGACGAAAGCCTCGTGGACATTCTGTTGCTTTGGCATCGTTTTGTTAGATTCTACTACACAACAGTGAAACTTCACATGGCTCCCCTTCTCCAATGAATCAGCAAGGGCCACAATCCACCATTCCCCTTCTGTGGTCTGACACATCTCCCAATAAGGCTTGCACAGTCCTGACCTGGACAGCCCAAGCAAGCCCGGTCTCGTCAGATCCTCAGAAGCTAAGCAGGGTCGACTCTGGCAAGCAATGTTCCCTCTAAGCTGAGTTAGTGTGAGCTAGCTCACAGTTTTTTAGCCTCCGGCTCACGCATTTTTGTCTTAGCTCAGGAAGGATGGCTCCAGAGCAAACTAATTTATGCAGTAGCCAAACTGCTCGCTCACAACTTTAATGCCAGTAGCTCACAAAGTAGGATTTTTGCTCACAAGACTCCACAGCTTAGAGGGAACCTTGCTGGCAAGTACTTGAATGGGAGACCTCTTTGGAAGACTAGCAGTCGGGAGGCGGGGGCAGGCTTTATTCAGCCACCTCTCTTGAATATCCTCCAGGCCCCCAGTAGGGGTCAGTCACCAGAGGTCGCCATGACTTCCAGGTGCACTCATATGCACACACATGCACATATGGGGGAAAAAAACCAAAATAAGGCTCACACGACTTCCAGGTGCACTCATATGCGCACACAAGCACATATGGGGGGAAAAAGCCAAAATAAGGCTCACACAGAAGAACTCCCTGGCGGATTGTGGTGTGGCCTACATGCACCTTTTGCTCTCGATCATCCATCATGACCCCTAAACCTGCTGCCTCAAGCAGAAGCCAGCTCCTGAGGCTTCATAACATGGCTGCCTCCGCAGTATGTTGGCTGAGTTATACTCTACTAACCCCACCCCCCCAAAGTGGCTTTTCCTGATTTACCTTTTGGTTCTTCCTAAAAATGAACTGCTAAATGGTACGGTGGCCAGCCTGAGACAGTTCATTCTACAACCCCCCTCCCTTGCTCCACTTCATCAGAATGCCTGTTTTCCCCCTCATTGTTTACAGCCTATTTGGCTTGGGGTTATCTACACAGCTAGGTAGTGCTATTAGGGTTAAGTGGGGTGTTTCTAAAGTGAAAGATTTCCAGCTGACTTTGTAGATAACAGCCTTTTGTTATCAACCTAAAGCTCTTCCTAAACACTGGAAGCTCTCCATTTACCTCAGCCATTTTCTTAACACCCCCGTGAGATATGCGTGTGGCTTGGCCAATTCACATCTGAGGTCAAATGTAACCCTTTCCCCTCCATACGCACACATTCCCTGTACTGGAACAGAACAGTTCGGTTTACGATGCAGCTGCACAAGGAATGAACACAACGATCGCGGCAAACCCAAGTTTAAACATCAGTTTACTGAGATACATGCAAAGATCTGACCAAAACGGCCAATTCTGCTTCTCAGTGGCCAACCAGATGTCCCTGAGAGGAAATACATAGCCCTCTTCCACTGTTTCCTCTGAAGATAGAGCTTCCATTGAGCCACCACGGACAATGATGGTTGGTCAACCAATTCTCCACGAACTTTGTTTTAATCCTTTCTCTCCGCATATATCACAGTAGGCTACAGTAACCTGGCCCATAGCTACAGTGGGGGCCATTTTTTGAGAATAAGATTTTTTTTAGAAGACTCAGGGGGGCTGTGTGCAGTTTTAATCCTTTCTCTCCGCATATATCACGGTAGGCTGCAGTAACCTGGCCCATAAGTACAGTGGGGACCATTTTTTGAGAAGATTTTTTTGAGAATAAGATTTTTTTATCAGCTGAAAGGCTTTTAAGACCTTGCAGGAGGGGAGGGAGAGAGGGGGTTGCCGGCCGTTGGACTTGGGGGTGGATTGGAGCCGACATAAAAATAATAGCAGCCCCACCAAAAAATTTTTTGCCCCACAAGCCACAAAATCCTGGCTACGGGCCTAGCGGCAACTCCCATCAATTCCCAACAAAGGCCTGGCAGGCCTGGCAGCATACTCAATGCATTTCGCCTTAATGCTGATAAATCAGCAATGTAGATAAGCCTGAATTAAGGAGAGGGGGAAAGCGCATGGCAACCTTTCTTTTAAGTGGGCTATGCCCTAATTTTCCACTAGAGGGTATCATGCTTTTCTCCAAGGTATGTAAAACAGGCCACAGACTGGCCTAGATACATGCTGTCTCGCCTGGATTTATCATTTTGGTGTTTGACATTTCCACTGTCGGTCCTACAAACAGAAGCGTGGAAGGATCTTCTCCGTCAGAAGAGAGAGAAACCTCGGCTGGTTCACGAGCTTCCTCCCAAATGCCAGGGAGGTTAGAAGCAGCAATCGACGCAATTTTTTGAGCTCCCGAATGGGACGGTTGTGTTCTGAGAGGCGGTATGTAAGGATGGGTCATTGTAGCCCGTAGTCTCCATGAGATTTACGAGGTGGGAACAGGAAGACTACTGAAAAACAATTCCTGTAGTCCATATCCTGAAATTGAAATCGGAGGGCAGGGGAGAGACCACGTGACCTTGAGGAACGGTGCTTTGATTTGACAAAGATGGCAGGCAGAAGAACATGCAAATGGTTCTGGACTTTGTTTTTAAAAAACCAACCACACGCAATTGGGGGAGAACAGCCATGTGGGGTTTTGTTTTGTTTTTTTTAAAAACCCACACACAACTGGGGGAGAACAGCCCTGTGGGGTTTTCCCCCCTGCAGCTCCATTTCTGACATCCTTTGTAGCTTTAATTTCGCGTTCAAACCCAAACCCAAGGCAAGGCGGAGTAGCCGACAGGCATTTAACCTTTATTCCCTGTGTCCCCAGGTGCCCTCAAGGATGGTTATAGTTATTTATTTCCCCTTCAGACCGAGAGAGGGGATTCAACATCTCCTTTACAAAGAACTAAAAACACCATCACTGTCCCGGGACATACGGGTTATATTCCCTGTCGCTTGTCCTCCTCCCTCTCTTTTCTGGCAAAGGAGGCGACCGCGTTCTCCAGTGTCTCCTGCTGCCTTGGACGACCCCCCCCTACTTTGTAATAAGAGCAAACGAGAGGGACGCGTTCTTACACTAACTTCGTCCCTCTTAACTTTGCAAGCACGAAATGAAGCGGTCGGATCGCTTTGTCCCAAACTTCCATCGGGCTCACCGCGCTGAGCTCCCATCGCAGGTCTTCCCTGGCTTTCCCTAAAACTCGCGTGCCAGAAACCGAAGCAAATCGCTCCCCTCCCGCCGCCGCCCGAAATAATCACGTGATCCCCCCCACACACACACACACGAGGGTATCGAACTCGCGTGTTTCTGGTCCCTGTAGGGCGCCCCTCCCCGTGCCCGAAGGCCAGCATTCGCCCCGTCGCAGCCAGCCCTCTTGCGAAGTTGCCAGCGAAGGTTCCCACGACCGTGTCGGGTCTGTTGCGCAAGGCGCCCTGCTCTAGAGCAGAGCACACAAAAGCCGCGGATGCAGACGACCCGGGGGGCGCGGGGGGCCGGGCCGTCTTGGCTCTTCAAAGGGAAGCAACCTGCCTGCCCAGATGGCGGCAGGCGCGCGCGCGCACTCGCTCCAACACACACACACACACCACACGCACATGCAAGAACACACGCGCGCGCGCCGGCTCTTAATTGCCTTCCATCTTTTCAGGGCTTTGTGCTGCGCGCGGCCGCCTCGACTGTTTGTTTCCTAATAAAGCGAGGCGGCTCGACCCCACAACAGCGAGCGGGCGGGC